AGAGAGAGAGAGAGAGAGAGAGAGAGAGAGAGAGAGAGAGAGAGAGAGAGAGAGAGAGAGAGCACTCGACCATAGACCATACATGTGTTCGGATCTAGAGAGGTTTGGCTGTGTAGTGCTCTTAACTGTGGCTAAGCCTTTAAAGTTCTATCACTGAGCACATAATCCCCATAACCTCCACCACAACCACATACAAGAAGAGTGATGGTAGCTCTATCTATAATGCAACTGATGCAGAGCGGTGGAGAGGGAGGAGAAAGAGAATGTGAATGTGATTGGTGCAGACTCTGCAGAGAGGTTGGAAGGGAGGAAAAAGAGACCGAATTCTTACATATGTGGACATGACACAGCAGAGAGGTTGTGAGGGAGGAGAGAGGGGTTTTATTCTCTTTTGATGCAAAATTATGTGCTTTTGATGGACCGTTGTGTATTTCTAGCAGCTGCTTGAGAACCTGGGAAATCATGATGTTTTCCTGTCTGACATGGAAAGTATGCTTATCTTTTTCCCTTTTTTTTATGTTGTTTTCTATGACCTCGGGTTTATGACAGGTACTGCAAGAAAGAGGTGAGAGCACATCGCTATATGGAAGAGCTACCTTCTCCGTACTTTTACTGCAGGTACGTGGAAAACATGGGAACCATCCTCAATCCTGTGCAATCTTGCTAACAATGCCATCTTGGTATGGTCGTGGTTATCAAATATGAGGCCTTTTGCCTACCCATCTCGCAGTTGCATATGGGGCTGTGCACGTGCATCAGAGTCGAGAGAGTGCACGTGCATCAGAGTGGGGAGAGAGAGAGAGAGAGAGAGAGAGAGAGAGAGAGAGAGAGAGAGAGAGAGAGAGAGAGAGAGAGAGAGAGAGAGAGAGAGAGAGAGGACAGTGTGCGTAGCAGAAAGGGGCAACTTGAAGAGTCGCACATCCTCTCCTGGAGTTTTCTCTTTCTCCTCTTGCCCTTCGCTTTCTCCTCCTGCAGGTGGTATTTATTCTGCTTCCTTCTCCCGTTTCTCTGCCTCATCCACTGCCCCTCCTACCATCGATTTGCCGAAATTTCCGTGTTCTGTGATGGTTTGCTGTTTGCTTGCATGTGTGTAAGTGCCTGTGTGATGGTTGCTATGTGGAGTACTAACTGTGTGCTTGCCCTGTGTTCCGTGTCCCGGGGGGGGTAGTTTAGAAAACAAGGGAACTGCAGGGACAAGACTGAAATTGGGGACCACACCCACTTCTAGAAAGGCCAGGACGAACAGGGACACAAGTAGAATTTGGCATGTACAGCAACTCGTGTAGGCCCAGGTAACGTACAGTAGGCCTGGGTAGGTCTGGTGGACTCCAAAAGAAGTGTTCAGGTCCTGTCTCTTATACACATCTAGATGTGTATAAGAGACAGGTCTGTGACGAGGTAAGTGTTAGGCTACGTACAGGCCCAGTTGCTAGATTGCAGGCTGCAGAGATGTTCCCGTCTAAAACCAGCAACTTAGGCCTGGGTAGGTCTGGTGGACTCCAAAAGAAGTGTTCAGGTCTGTGACGAGGTAAGTGTTAGGCTACGTACAGGCCCAGTTGCTAGATTGCAGGCTGCAGAGATGTTCCCGTCTAAAACCAGCAACTTCCCGTACCCAGCCTAGAGGAGTAGGAGGGCGAGTTGCAAGAGTATATTATTCGGGCACATCGAGTGAAGCGGTATCTTACCTGGCAGTAATACTGCTGCTCTGCCCAAAGGGTGAAGGTAAGTGGAGCTCCTGCTGAGTGGTGGAGGTGGAGGGTGGAGAAAAAGACCTCCCTGGCTATAGAGTAGGAGGAGGAGGAGGAGGAGGGGGTAGACCTTGGCTATGGAGAGGCAGAGGTTTGACCGGCCCCTGCCAGGCTTTGGAGAAGGGTGAGAGACTACGGCGAATGAGATGGGAGAGGTATAGTAGAGATTGCATTGTCCTCAGGACACCCGTGATGAGCATAGATGTTCTGCCATAGTGGTAATTGCAACTGAGGAGAGAGAAGTGAGGTTATGATCCTGTTCATTCATTTATTTGTTGCATTTAATTGATTATGAGAAGAGTAAGGGAGAAGAATATGAGAGGAGGAAGTGAGGAGGATGACATTGGTTCATCTTGTGTAATTCTTCTTCTTCTTCGTTTTCCTTTTCATCCTGTTCGCTTTCTTATCAATCTCCACTTCTTCTGTGGAGTTTCAGCAAGTTTTGCATCTTCTCGAAATTAAGAGTTTTGCATTCCGAATGTACTACGATAACAACGCAACATTCTAATACCTGCCTGGTTGGTAATGGCGTCTGTTGTGCAGGATCTAGCCGTGGTCGTGCTGCTCATCTTGATTCCTTTGCTGTCTCAGAACAGTTCCGGAGGCGCAGGGGTGAGTGGTGCAATCATGATTTCTCACTTGTAGTGGTCCGTCTTTGTTTGTTTTTCTGTGATTGGTTTTCATACCGGACCTTTGTGCGACACGGACCTGGGTCACTTCGGTGCTGCGGGGATTGCGGCTTCGCTTGCACTCTGTGTGAAGGTGTTCAAGTCTTGTGTCTATTAGTTGCTGCCATGGTTGCACCAAACTGCTGCAATTCTCTCTCTCTGCTGTCCGATTGCATACTGCCGTGTCATCTGAAAATACCTAACAAGGCCTACCTGGTATAAACTAGAGGAAAACCCTGTTGTACGTAGTTGTTTCAACGCTTCTCAATGGAATCCTTCAAACTCGCATAGCACTACGGGAGAAGGAAAACCCTGTACAATGTACGTAGTTGTTTCAACGCTAGGATTCCATTCTTTAGGACATGAAGAGCAGACGCTTCACGCGAGTTTTGAATTGTTTTCGTAATTTGAGAACTCAGACTTATTTTCGGTAATCCATCATAATAACACATATTGTCTGGGGGGGTTGAGCAATTCCGAAAGATGCTTCGATTTACCATAATATGACCAGGTTGATCTCGTAAAACAATAGTGCACTCTACTAGATTTTTAGTTATGTGGACCCAGGCAAACATGCAACGAAGTGACAAAAAACATGGCTGGCATCACAGTGCCAAATCGTCTCTTTCTTTCTTTTTTTTTCTTTTTTTTTTTTCCTTAAAAAGAGAGCAGCCCCTTCTATTCTTGGGGGCATCAGTCCGGTTGCTCATCACCGACAAGCCTGGAAAACAAAGTACAATTTGGTTTGAAAGAGAAGAGGAAAGCCTTGCCCTTGCTGCCCTAGACGCCTTTCAAGGGGAGGATTGCTACAACCAAAACCCACTTCCCATACCATAGCATCCCCAGGGATACCTCTGTTGGTCGGGAAGCTTCCGAGCAGCACCCAGCCATGCAACAGATGGGTCCCCAGGGAAGGCCTGGCTCGGGGGGGCTGTTCTAGCAATTTCGCGGGCCTCACATCCTGTTAAAACCCTTCCTCAGTTCCCCCATTAAAATCCTCTGGCTGCCATCAAAGGTGTTTTTTTTTTTTTTTTTTTTTTTTTTTTTTTTTTTTTAACTCAGATGATCTCGCAATTTATGCATGTCCTCCTTGCGCAGGTGCCATGCTAATCTTCTCTGTATTACTCCAATTTTAACGGATGTCCCGAAGGACATGCCAAAGCATCTTTCAGAATTTCATTTTACTGTTTTGCCCATCTGTTCAAATCAAACCCCTGACTGAAATGTACCTGGCCCATGTTTGCTGAATGGTACATGCATGTTACTGTCGGTAAACAGGCCACGAGTTCAACCTCTGATGGAACGGTCTGATGGCAAAGCATCAGTACACTGAAGCCACAAGGAACATTCGATGGAGGACTGAGTAACAAAGGGGGGGGGGGGGGGGGGARGRGGGGGGGAYTKGGGGAGAGCAAGTAGCAGGTGATCGGCGTTGGCCGCCACTACCTGCTAGCATGATGCAGTGTTGCACATATGAGGATCTAAGCTGTCCAATCATACCTTGTTGGCGTGTATGTTGCAGCCTACTTACTTGAGTTGATCCATACTTTCTTAGTTCTGACACATGAACACTTTGCAGGATAGAGTGTCTGCGTCTTTCACAGTAATTTTGCAATGCCTGTGTCTCCTTGAAGAAAAGGATGAGGCTGTCCATCTTCCGGTCGATGGGGCATAGCCAGGGAAGTGGGAAGGATCGAGGCACTGAAAGAATTTGGGAAAGCATGCAAATCTTGATCTGTCCGTTTCTTCTGTTGTGTGCAATGCCCCCTTCCTTTTGTTCTGACCAACTGAGCCTTTCTGTGATTGCGGTGATCTTGAGCTGGTAACCAAGTATGCTGCGTAGTCAACTGAGCCTTTCTGTGATTGTTGTTGTGATCGTTTTTTTTCGTAACGATTTTCAGCTGGGAATGGCAGCTATTGGAAAAGCCCTGGGAGTTGCTGGTATCAAGGGTGCGATGGCCATCTCCGCAATCATTGCGGGTGGTCGCCTGGTAATCAATCTGCAAATCACTACTCTTTTTCCTTCCCTTGGATTGCCTTCTTCCCCTCGTTCTTACCTCTCACTCTGCGCCCCTATGTGTGATATCCATATGTGGAAGAGTTGGGCCAGCTACGCTCTGTGTTGATGAAGTGGGGAGAGGATAGGCTTTATGTCGGTCCAGCTTCACATTGCCAGAGGGGCATGAAAAACACAGGGGCCAATTGGGATATTCAATGTTCAAGAAGGACCGATTACGATGGGTTCGATACCGTCCTTAAAAAACCTTGATAATGATTATTTAACTTGACAAATTTGCAACATGATGATAATTTTTGAACCAGATGCTTGACCTTCAATACCTTCACCTAACTTCACAAAGGTAGGCGAAGTTACATGTGTTGTGGCTCATCCAATTAACCTTTGGTACATATCCTCGCAATTTTTTATTTGAGTTTTTAATACTTTTTAAGTTTTTATTTGTTCTTCCTGTAATGAAAGATTCACACACAATGCCCTGGGAAAATTTGTGGAAACTTGGAAAGTATGATGGAGACAATTGTTTCTGATTATCCCTGCCACATGCAATTCTCCTCCCTTTTGTCATCAATGAACCTCCTCCCTTCATCTCCAAAACTCCTTCCTCAGCTCTCTGGGATCTCCTCTCTCCACTTCTCTCAACCTCCTCCCTCCTTAACACCTTCCCTGCCCCTGTCTGAACCTCTTCCGGACAATCGCCTTGACCATCTTCAATCCTCCTCCCTCCATCCACTTCGCCAAGCCTCCTCCCTCCTTACTACCTTCCCTGCCCCTCTCTGCCCCTCCCTGCCCCTCCCTGAAGTTCCTCTCCCTGGCTGCCTTGCCTCCTCTGGACACCTACCCCCCTCGCCATCTTGAACCCTCCTCCCTCACCGGTCTCCATCCAAACACCCTCCCTGAGTTTCGTCCACACTGCGTACCAAACTGCAGTTCATGCACTGGGAACGCTCTATGCTGACCGACAAGCACTGTGAGTGGGCTCCTGAACCATATTGCAGCGCTCCTTGCGCAATGGAACTCCCTTCTCTCATTGTGTGTGTGCACAAATGAAGATGTCATGCTGTTGATGCAACTCCATTACCAACCTCCCGTTGCTCATTTACATCTTTTGTTTTTTCTTTTTCCCTCTCTCACTCCCTCTTCCCCCTTTCTTTTAATTCAAAGGGAAAAAAAAACCCCTCTTCTTGCGTTGTTGCTTGTGGCTTCCATCTTAATGCCGAAGCCAAATTCGATCACAAGGCTTGGCAAATCCAGCTGCATCAATTAGAAGCTTCCCACTATGCCTCCAGATGCCGAGGGTCTGTTACCTACCCCTCGATCCTACACGGATCTGATGTAAAACTTGGCATACTCTGTAGTGGGGCAATCGTCTTTGACCCTCCTGCTATCCAACAAGATCACTAAGATCACTTAGAAGCCGCCAAACTATGCCTCCTGATACCATACATTCTGTTACTTCCTTCTCTATCGTGAAGCTGAATCTGATATAAGACTTGGAAGTACTTCATACTGGGGCAACTGACTGGGAGCCTCCTGCTACCTCTGGCCCAGTTTCCCCTTCCTTCCAGCTTAACCTTACCCACCCTGAGCTGGGTCGGCCCACTCAGCTTGTTATCGGTCCTGGGTTTGGTACGTCCTGCATGTCCATACCTAACCAACTGTTATTCAGCCCTTCCTTTGTCCTGAAGGCTAATGCAGTCAGTGGTTCATCCACCTCTCAGATGCATATCCTCTTCAGCAGCTCTTGATCAGTTCTTCCGGGATCGAGACCAGTATGGGCCTCGCCGCACCACTGTCGAAATGAAAAGAGTACGAGTGCATGATACCTCAGGGAATGGCCAGATGCGTCCGTTGCTATGAATAGTAACGGATGCATCTTGCCACTTTTAGGGGAAGATGCGATCGTACTTTTTGCGTTTCGACAGTGGGGTGGCACGGCCCTATGTCATTCAAGTTTGCTTGCAGCCTAAGGTATCCCTTCGGGATCCTCCACCACCTCTGGTTTCTGTTCCATAGGTGCTTTAACTGCCAAACTCCATGCTCCAACCAAGTTCCCCCCCTAGGATTGCTCTGAGTCCCATCCACGGCTTCCCTTGCCAGTCCGTTAGCCATTCTCCCTCTTTTGAGGAGGGTTTCTTTACCTTCGCTGGGAAGATTTCCCTCCCAAGTTCTCGTTAGGTGATACCAGTAGTGTTCATTCTCCGCTGGGACCCTTCGTGCTCATCAGTGTCATTACTCGCCCTGATAGGGTAGCTCCGAGCCCCGTCCACAGCTTCCTTTGCCAAGACTGGCTCCCTTAGTGATTCCTCTTTCGAGGAGGGTTTCTTTACCTTTGCTGGGAAAGATTTCCCTCCCAAGTTCTCATTAGGTGAGACCAGTAGTGTTCATTCTCCCCTTGGGACCCTTCGTGCTCATCAGTGTCATTACTTCCCCCGATACCTTGCATGGCCCACGATTTAGCCATGATCCTAACCAGGCGCCTAATTCTCGCCAGTCCCAAGGCAAACCATGTTACACGCATTGTGTTCGGTGACTTGGGTCAGTAGTTCAATTATCTATTTCGGTCGGGAGTGCCTTAATCTGTAGTTTGGTATCCATATTACCTAGGCCCCCGTTTTTCTTACTCAAGGTTACGAACTTCCGGGGGACTTTGCAAGTGAAGTGCTGTTTGGAGGGATTGCCCGTCCTCAAGCAGGCTGCCTCCGTCCTTTTCAGGGTAGCCTTTGGATGAGGGTCTGGACTCCATATTGAGGCTGCATAGCAGGCCCATTGCCAGAAAGTCCGGCCCATTTGTTAGCAAGTCTATTATTGGATTGTTTGGGAAATCCTGCTCTAGCCTCTTCTTCACCATGCTGTGCAGTCCCTCCGTCAAGTTGTCGAACTGCGCCCATAAATGTTCTTTTGAGCATCACTTGTAAATGTCAGGATGCTTCTCCCTGTGGTGCTCTCGCCGGTTTCCAGGCCCAAATCATTACCACAAGCGCTCTCCTTGCCGGTTTCCAGGCCCAAATCATTACCACAAGCGCTCTCCTTGCTCACTGATGTTGCTGCCATCTGCAAGTATGACCTCGCCATCCACCTCTCACCTACTCTAGTCCTAGCCCAGTCAGCCTGTCAAAGTCTTAACTTCTTAGTACTGCGGTACTACCTTGTCCTGTGTGTCGAGATGCAAGCCATGCTCACTTTGAACTTTGAAGGCTTTAGAGAGAATGTAGCGATATTATCTTACGAGCGTAACACTCTTCCTTTTGTCGATCATTTACTGTTTGTTCCCGTGGAACAACAGGGAGTAGCTGAAGTTTGTGTCTTCCTTCTCCCAAAAGCTCTATTCACTCCCCTACCTTGCCTTGTCCTCCAAGGGCAGTGACAATCTGTTTGCAGCTGCGATTGCTTAACAACTCCGATGCGAGCAGCATGTCTCTCCAGCACTCAGCAAATCCGGTCACAATCTCCCCTCCTCCATGTACTTGCGACAGCAAAGTGTGACGACCTCCTGACACAGTGGAGCACACTTGAAGGACAGCATGTCCCCAGCTCAAGGCTGCCTTGATCCTCAGTCAGGTGCTTGAACCCCCGTGCCAATTCCCCTGGTGGTGCGTTCACCGGCTGTTTGGACGACCCACCAGTGATGGTTTGGTTGCGGCAGAAAACAACGTACCGAACACAGAAGGCTCCACCAGCAAGAAAGCACCGACCAGAGGCAGCATATTCCGAAAAAACTTGGAGAGGCCTCCGAGTCAGCCCACAAGCACAGCAGCACTGGCGCTCCTATTCCTCCCAAACAACACACTCACGCCACCACTATCTCTATCACTTCATGGCTAGACAGTCCCCATCTTCTGTCTGGCCTCTGGAGTGTATAGAGTACCATAAACCCGAAGACCACAAGATCTTCACGCGACACCAGGAGGGCTACTGCTTAAAAAACCCCGGAAGTCCCCGTTTCTTCCATGTGCTCCAAAAGAGCAGCCCAGGGGAATGGCACCCACAGCAAACACTCTCTGAGCCTGCTCGCCAAGATACTGTGGCGAGAACTCCAAGCATACATTCACAGAATCTCTACACAACACCAGGAGCACTATTGCTTAAAACACCATGGAACCACCACGAATGCGCTCCAAAAGGGCATCCCGTGGGAGTGACACCCCGGACACTCTGAGCCTCCTTGCGAAGATACCGTGACCATGATTGTGTGTGTGTGTGTGTGTGTGTGTGTGTGTGTGTGTGTGTGTGTGTGTGTGCCAGTGTGGGGTTCCATCTGGCTATTTTTCTTGCTTAGGGTTGCAGGGAACATCAAGCCCCATATTGTGCGACTTCTTTTCTCTTTCATTCCTCTGCCAGCCAAACACTGTTTTCTCTGTGTTTGTGTGTGTGTGTGTGTGTGTGTGTGTGTGTGTGTGTGTGTGTGTGTGTGTTCTAATTCCAGTGTGGGCTTCCATCTGGTTATTTTTCTTGCTTAGCGTTGCAGGAAAGCCAATATTGCGCAACTTTTTTTCTCGCCCCTCCCCTCCAGAACCGCTCCGAGCAGGTTCTCTTACAGAAACCTTGTATATCACCTTTCTTTTCTCTGACTGATAAGATTCAGTGAAATCTTCGCTCCACCCCCAGAAGCAAATTTCCAGAATCACAATAACCCAGACATTGTGCAAAATGTTCCTTGGATTCTACTTGTGTTTAGGAAATTTTCTGCTTTCTTCCCCCCCCCCCCCCCCCACCAAATTGTTCCACAAGTTCCCTCGATGTTTTTTAATTCAGCTCCCATCGTCTTCCTGCTTATCCAATGTATTGTTTGAAGCCAAGAATGCTTCTGTCGAACTGTTCCTTTGCCTATTGCTGCGGCACCATTGGATTCAGCTTCTTCTTCTTCTTCTTCTTCTTTTTTCTTTTTTCTTTTTTTTGTATGGTGTCTGCTTGTGCAGTTTCTCAGACCAATTTACAGAAGAATGGCTGACAACAAAAACTCCGAGATATTTGCTGCTACGACCCTACTTGTCGTCCTGGGAACCAGTGTTCTCACTGCCAGGGTAAGTGCAGCAACCAACTTAGACCCTCCATCCACAGCCCAGTTTGTTTCTTCACATGGAAAGTCGTGATTACCTCGGGTCAACTCAGGGGCGGGGGGGGGGGGCACAAACAGCTTAAACCACAGCTGCAGGGGAACCTATCTTGTCGAAGCTCAGGCAGCCTAGAAGACAAATGGTGCTTGCTGCGGCCACCGACCACTGTAATCGCGATCGGACAGTTCAGGTCGGCTGCCACATTTTGCCCCGCAGCCGTGCTGGTCCACTACTGCTCTGCTTCTAGACGGCCTCGGGGACCCCCCTCCTTTTGTCCAAAAGAACATAGTAATCCTTAGTGGGCTGTGGGGGCATTTGTGCCATCACTCTGCCCCTGGCTAGGTTGTTTTCCTGTGTCCATGGCCTTTGGATTCCCGTACGGGTGCGTGAGATTATTGGATTCGTTCTCACAGGTTTGCCGTTCCATCTCTGGCACCGTGTAAACAACAAGACCTTTTTTTGTAATGTGCTCCTATATTTCGTTCGTTTGTGGCGATCTTGCCCTCGAGTCGTTGGTGTTGGTTATCCAACGGGTTCTTCTTTGTTTTCGGTGACACTCTGTCGGGACTTTTCGGAGATGCCGGCTTCTGGCAGGTGAGAAAAAACGGAAAAGAAAAAGAAAACGGTCGATGCTCTGCACAAAAAAAACGTCAGGAAAAAACGAAAAAAGATGGCCATGCATTTGTGGAAAAAGCCTCAAGAAGGGCTGGGCTTACACAAAAAAAGGACCAATGCCAGTGGGTACAACCATGAACTGTTGAGTCACGGGCCTGAGTTCTAATCCAGAATAAACTAGATGAATGAAGTAGAGTTAAAAAACCCTAACTCTGAATGCCTGGGACAGGTCAGTTCGACTATGATATCTCAAAGCCGTTGTCTTTTCACAAAAAACGAAAAAGAAAAATTGACAGGGATACTCGGGCACTCACMGCGGCACGCACCCWCTCATGCCAGGCAWGGACGCACTCACAGCGTGTGTGWGAGAGAGAGAGAGMGAGAGAGAGAGAGAGAGAGAGAGAGAGAGAGAGAGAGAGAGAGAGAGAGAGAGAGAGAGAGAGAGAGAKCATTTYTTYGTATATGCTTCATTCTTTTWCTACTATTACGCATTGTTTCTTTTATCTTCTTCGACTTTTTTTTGTCTTTGCTTTGAGATTCTCTTTTCCTATTTTACTATTTTCTTTATCTTCACACTTTTTCAGCATGTGTTGATTGATGCATGTTTGGGAACCCACTCTTTTTGACGGAACGCTCATGAATGAACTGTTGGTTACTGTCCACAGAGAGAGAGAGAGAGAGAGAGAGAGAGAGAGAGAGAGAGAGAGAGAGAGAGAGAGAGAGAGATCAGATGATTCGTAGGTCAGTTGATCAACAGATGTCTTGATAGGTAGATCGCTTGGTTCTTTGGAGGAAAAAGTGAGTAGAATGAGTTAGGGTTCATGATGTGTATGGAGGGAGGAGGGCACCGATGGGGTTCGAGGGGGTGCTCAACGTCTGTTAATGTGGGGAGGGGAGGGAGGTGGGAGCTCTACAGTTTGTTTGATATACTTTTTTGCCAAATCCAAATCCAATATGAACCCCCAAACACATCCATTAGGTGGGAGTTGTCGCTATGTGGTGGAATGAAAATCTGTGTTGTGGAGGTGCAGAGACCCCTACCCGATTGCTTATGACTCTTATTAGTTTGTCAGTGCTTTCCTATTACCAGGTCCCTTTCAGGTTAGGCAGGCACTATGGGTCCTTTGACTCCCAATTGGTACATCGAAATGCAAAAGTTGCATCTCGCCGGTATCACCTATTGGCGTTAACGTAGCCATCCATCCCCCAATAGATGAGTAATCAACTCCCATACAGTCAGTATCGGCCGTTGCGGTTAAGAAACAGGGGGAAAACTTCAAAACGATGTTGCCAAAGTGGGTAAGCAAGCAATGGGCGCCACTCGATCTTTTTGCTCCCACCTATCCCCTCATCTTATCTTATAGCCCAAAGGTGAGATTCTTTGTTTCCAAAAGTACTGTCTTTCAGGCAGAGCTGTTGTGCAAAATTCTGAAAATAAAAATAAAAATTGAAAACAACTGATATAAATAAAAGTATTGTGAAGATGAAAAAGGACAAAACAAAAAAATGAATGGATCCAATTTCCGAAGGTGAGAGTTTTCGTGTTCTTTGAACTTATTTTCTTTCCTTTCTTTTTCTTTTCTTTTTTTTTTCTTCACTAAGTTGCAGTTTTATTCTATATAAAATCACTGAGGCCGGCGGTTCCTATACATCTCAACCTGGAGAGCTCTTGGGCCATTCCCCAGATTTGGCTTGAGCTGGAAACCGGGTCCACCGTCCCCTTATCTGTGACTTCAAACAAAATAAAAACTGGACAAAAAAAGTTAATAAACACAGTTCTTGTTTATTTTTCCATTTTCGTTTGTTTCTGAAGTTGCTGGCTCGTAAGAGTCTGTATCCTACTCCTACTATGCTGCCTCGTAGGTTTGTAGACTCGTACGAAGCAGTTCGTGTTTATTTGTCTGCGACTTCGACTTCGAACAAAATCGAAACTGAATAGCCCAAGCGGGCTAGCTGAGTTGGTTGAGCACGTAAGTCGTATTCAGGAGGTCATGGGTTCGATTCCCCACCATCCATTCGATCCCCCGCGACCCCCTGTGATACGCTTCGGGTTCACCAGCGGAGGTAATTGGCCTTGGCCTCCTGGCCGGTTGTGGAAGGGAAGAGGATGCTTTCCAGCTCGCGCCAGGTGTTAGGAGCCGGGGTAATTGGCCTTGGCCTCCTGGCCGGTTGTGGAAGGGAAGAGGATGCTTTCCAGCTCGCGCCAGGTGTTAGGAGCCGGGGTACTGCTGGCCGCAACGAACAGCAGGGTGGGATTCATTAGGGAGAAAATTAACCCATAACAGCAACCATTGGGAAAAAAACTGGACTTACATAGCAGTATAGGTAGTGTGAGGCATACAAGTGAAGAATATAGCTTAGTTGAAAAAAAAAATAATAATGATAATTTGATAAAAATCGAAACTGAAAAAGGGAAGAAACTAAGCTGCTGCCTGGTAAGAGAATGTGTCCTACTCCTATTATGTCCTCCCCTACCTTCGTTTTCGAAGTCCTTTTTCCTGTTCTTTAAACTTCTTTTCCTTATTTTTTCTTTTGCTTTCTGGAAAAGTGAAGGCCCCTACAGTTCTGGTGAGCATCAGTTGTGTTCCATTCCGGCAGCGACAAGCGTAGCCAGTCAAATTCATGGAGAATGTAGACCACCAGGCTGTGTACTTATTTGAATCAAATTGAATGTAAATAAATACGATACACAACACAACACAACACAACACAACACAACACAACACAACACAACACAACACAACACACAATCTCTGTATTTATTTGAATGTAAATAAATGCAGTTTAATACACAGATTGTGTGTTGTTTTGTGTTGCACATGTAATAGGCTAATAGCCTAATAGGTATGTGCAGTCTCAGGGTTTTTTTTTTTTGTTTTTGTTTTTTTTGTTTCCCCTTTCCGGAGAACTTTTTGTGCAAATTCTTCAGTTCTGCTGACTGCAATGGTTTCGTATTTTGTTGAATCTCCTGTGCAGGCGGGTCTTTCCATGGCTCTTGGAGCATTCTTGGCTGGCCTTCTCCTCGCAGAGACGGAGTACGCTCCTCAAGTGGAATCTGACATCAACCCTTATCGCGGCCTGCTTCTCGGTCTCTTCTTTATGACTGTATGTTCTTCCAACTTTCAAGTCCCTTTAACACTTGTTTCTTGACGGATGTTGAATGCCTCTCTGCATCTGCAATTTTGCATTTGCAATTTTGCACTAGCAATGACCAGCTTCTGCGTAGTGTTAGGGTCAGATGGATGTCTACAACCTCCAGACTCCAGAGCACTCGTCCATTTGAGAGTGCAAGAGGGGGATACTTATTTTCGCATGCTGCGAAATGGGAGAAAAATGGAGAATGGTGTGTGTGGGAGAACGAAGCCATGGTTACACCTACCCTGAGCTCTGCACTAATTACTATGGGACCAGGACTCCTTCCTGGAGACCATCTGGATGATCCAGATATGTCACAAAGACTCAGAATAGGTCTGGACGGTCCACACAATACCCATCCGAGCTCACAAATGATTTCATACAGTAGTTCAGCAGCCAAGTTTTGTTCACCGATTCCCTTTATGAATATTAGCTGGGGTGGCAAGAGCATACATATCATTCGGCAATTGCCGTCTATTTTTTATTTTTTTTCTCAATTTCTTTTGTTCNCCCCCCCCCCCCCTTTCAATCGGATACCTTTGGTCTGACAACGAAACTGTTGGAAAAATCTGTATTCAGCTTGCGCTATATGGACAACAGTCTCAACAGAGATGGTGTACAAGACTAGGCTGCCAGCCGGGCCGCGCGGGTCACCTTGTTGGCTGGGCGGTCCGGCCGGGCAAGGACCAAAGAAGGTCCCAGCAAAGAAAACAAAAAAAAACTGAAAAAAAAAGTATGTTATGCAGAAAATAAACTGGACAACTTTTGCCTCAGGTTCACATGGAAATTCTACCAAATTTAAATAAAAAAAAAACTAGGGTACCAGAGTGGCCTGGGGCAAGTTACGCAGTCGGGCAAAAGAAAAAAAGAAAAAATGAAAGTTTTTATCTCAAATTTGAAATTTGGTAAAGAATTTCTATGTGACCCTGAGGCAAAAGTTGTTCAGTTTATTTTTGTGCATCACATGTTTTTTTTCAGAATTGTTTGTTTCTTTTTTTTTCCTTGGGCTATTCGTTGGCCCTCGCACGCCTGGGCCGCCCGGTCGAACAAGGTGACCTGGGCGGCCTGGCTGGTAGCCGAGATTAAAAAAAAAAAAAAAAACATTTTATGATTTTTCTATTTTTTACTTTTAATTTCTTTTTGGCCCGGCTGAGCAAGTGGTCCTGGGCCACTCTGGTAGCCTAGTTTCAAAATTATTATTACAGTGACAAGCTCAGGACTATTGTGAGGCAGCCACATGCTTGATGCCAGTCTGTCTTAAACTTTTTCTTTCCTTGTCTTCATATTGTTGGTGCTGATGTTTATCTGCTTCCGGTGGCCATCTTCTTCGTATTCCTGTGCTTAAAAAACTCAGACTGACAGGAACAATGGCGAAAACGTTCCTCGCCGGTTGGTAGGGCGTTCCCAGTGGTTCTGGTTGCAATTGCTGCCAGCCAATTGGACAGAGAAACAAGATGGTGCGGGGAGCCGGTTGGCGGTCCGAAAATGTTCCTCGCCGGTTGGTAGGGCGTTCCCAGGGGTTCTGCCAGGCAATTGGACAGAGAAACAAGATGGTGCGGGGGGCCGGTTGGTGGTCCGTATCGGTTATACTTTGGGATCAAATCATCAAAGCTCAATGTCTTAAGTTCATTGTAAGTTGATCATTGAAGTGACCATCACTATCAGGGACACAAAAAAGCCCCCCCAAAAAAGAAGAAAACAGGCCTGACAGACCTCTGGACAACAGAAAAACAATGAAGTGGTGGAGGGTTTTGCACCCAGTGAGGACATCTCTGGCAGTGGTGGTTTAATAGAGTCTAAAGTTGGGGCAAAAGACTGGCAGTCCAAAAGCTATGGCGATGATGATTGGGCGGGGCAATTGCAATGTGGAAAGTGATCAGATGTGTATCGAAATGTCTTGTTGATTTGCGCTGCAGGTGGGTATGTCGATCGATCCGCGACTTCTGATCGGACAGTTTCCGCAGATATTGGCAGCAATCAGCTTGCTCATTCTTGGGAAGACCGCACTTTTGCTTGGACTAGGCCGTATATTTGGCTTATCACCGCTTGCAGCCGCCAGGGCTGGCTTGGTGCTTGCGCCAGGTGGCGAGTTTGCTTTCGTTGCATTTGGAGAGGCAGTGACCCATGTGAGTTGTCATTTTTATCCCGTTGCGTCGCTTTTCACTTTTTTTTTATTTTTAATGTGACCTTTTCGAATGCCCCGATGTTATTCCATTTCCTCGACCAGTTGTTTCGCCTCAACTATATCTTAGTCGTTTTGCTTTGTTTTTTTTTACGCGATCTGTACGTACACAAAATATGAAAGTCGGAGCACCGAGGATAAATGGTGATTTTTTTTTTTTTTTTTTTTTTTTTTGAGTTCTGCGAATTTGTGGGCATTTCGTGTGGGGGGGGGCGCCAGAGGTCAGGTCAGGATGAGGTCTTCTGTGGTCGATGATGAGCATAAGGGCCAGCCAGGTCAACTAAGCATTATGACTCTGTGGCTTCCACTTTGCCCAGAGTCATGTTTTCCAAACATGAGCAATTAACATTAATGCACCAATGCGGCCTGCCTCTGTATGTATGGGTAAGACAGTGGGGATGCGATGTTCAAAACTCGAATTCCAAACGATATCTTTTTATTATCTTCTTATCTTCTTTTTTTTTTTGTTTTTTTTTAAATAGTCCGATGGACCACGGATCAGACATTAAACTGATCAGAACAGATAAGTTTTAACCATGACCAATTTACCACACAGGAGGAGGAGAATTTTGCAAAGGGGCTGGAGCGATGCTGCACAACAGCAGTCCGTTACAGCAGATGCCTCCTACGGTAGCATTTCCAATTTTCCACATGTGTGGTGCTTTTTTTCCTTTTTTTCTCCGAATTGAAGCTCGTTTCTATTGGTAGGGAGCATTGCTTGCTGAGAACCGGGCCCAGCGTCGCATAAGACAAAACATGAATCTGGTTGCAAGGGAAGTCAGGTTCATGCTTTCAGCAGACATCTGTGCTACTTTTGTTGTTGCAAGGGGTGGGAATGGGGGAAGCCCCCAACTTTATTGTGTTCATTTCAGGGTTGCATACCTGCCGGCCGCCAACCGTTTTGCAGCTGACCAGTAGGGCCGACCGGTTGGCAGTCTGCCGACCAGTCAGATAACAGCCATCCATTTTTTTTTCCAAATCTGAGTTGGGGGCCTGTACTGCGCTTGCTGAGTACAGCCCAAATCCGCTGAGAAACTTTTGGGGAGGTGGGGTGGTATGTGTGTTGGGGGACGGTTTGGGGGTATTGGGGGCGGGTATGGGGGTGTTGGTGTGGTTATTGGGGGTTCTGGACCATTAAAAAAAAACAAAAAAAAAAAAAAAAAACGGGGTGCCGACGACCCCCGACTGTTAGGTGCCGACCAGCCAACCAGTCAAGGGCACCAACCCTCGGGGTATGCAACACTGAATTTCATTTATCTGACTTCATCAGGATTTGAAAGGATTTGAAAGGATTTGAAAGGATTTGAACTCCTGTGCTGTTTGCTAACGCGTATATGTGTACCATTCAGCCCTATCTGTACATCCAGGCATGCGGAAAATATTATGGACAGTTGTTCTCTTTGTTATTTGAAGTTTTTAACTTTTAAAAACTCATTTCATAACATTACAAGCTACAGCTGATGACAACTGCAAAGCTTCATCTTTGTTTTTTCCACTTCATTTCAAACTACAGCTTGTCAGTACTCTGTATCATTCATTATCTTGTTTCCCTTTTTTCTTTGAGAAGGAAAAGAAGGAAAAGAAGGGGAAATGGCGATAATGTTATTGTATCAAGGAGGACTTGAACCGGTGATCCGTTTATGAACAGGCATACTGACGAGACCGTGTACCGCTCAACCATGCAGCTATAAATGTATGCCCCATATCATGTCCCTTCTCTTCTGCTCCTTGTCTTTTTTTATACTCTCTCCTCGGGTCTTGCGCATGCACCCCCTGTGGTCTTCTCACTTTGCTTGCTTTTGGCAAAAAAGCGGTGGACATTGTTCCTTGTTGATAGATGGTGTTGTTGTTCTGTCGACACACAAGTAATGTATGTATGTATGTATGTATGTAATATGTATGTATGTATGTATGTATGTATGTATGTATGTATGTATGTATGTGTGTATGTTTTGGCTTATTTTCTTTTTCTCTTGCTTGTGGCGGTACTACCTGGAACAGGGAATCATGCCGAAGCCGATGTCGTCCATGCTCTTCCTTGTCGTGGGTCTATCCATGGCAGTTACACCATGGCTAGCTGCTGCTGGTCAGTGGCTAGCATCACGGTTCGAGCAGCAAGACGTGAGGAGCCTGCAGCCTGCTGAAGCAGAGGTCAACGCACTTCTACCCACGTCCAATATCCGTACATCCTGTCATGTTCATCATGTTGAATTTGCTCAAAGCACGTCTACCCACATCTAATATCCGTACGCGCTGTCATGTCAGTCGTTTTCAGACGCTATGTTATCCAATTTTCACTATATGCAAGTAACACATGGTTACGCGCCGTTTCTCTCACAAGATTGTTTCTGAATGTAACCGAACTAACTGAACAATGTTATGTCCCTCCGTCACTCCGTGAACTGTCTAAAGATTAGCATTTAAAAAAAATAAATTTTTTTTTTTTTGTTTTTTTTTTGCCTGGTTCTTTGAGTACTCTGTGGGGGATCTGGACTCGGTTTCCAGCCGGTCCAGCTCCCCACGAATAGAAAGGAGCTTCCCTTTTTATTTAGGGCAAAATAAAGAGAGCAAAGAAGTGTTGTTTGGATGTGATGGCATCCATTGGCATGTATTTTTGCCTTCTTCGTTCTCTCTCTGTTACTTTTTAGTAGTTTTTACCATAGTTGCGGCGCACCTCGGTGCGCGGATTTGCGCACGAATTGCGCACCGAAATGCAGGGCACTGAAAAATTTAGGTCCAAAAAAAAAAAGTAAAGGTTTTGTAATTTCTTAGGGTCCCCAACTCGGCGGAAATGTTAAAGTCACCGCGCGAGCTAGGAAGCCGTCCGCGCCCCTGGCCCAATTTTTTTTTTTGGGTAAGGGCTGCCGAATTCCGATTTCCGCAGGGCCTTCCCCCAAAAGTTTCAGAATGGCGAAGCATAAAATAGGGCCCATTCCAACTTTTTTTTTTTAGACGGGGTATGGAGGCTGTCCTTCCCGCTCCCTTCTCCAAATCTCACACAGTGGTGGGGTACATCCCGCTCCCTTCTCCAAATCTCACACAGTGGTGGGGTACATTCACAAGAAGGGGTAGTCGCCTAATAACGACCTGCCTCACGAAGCTTCGCAGATGTCACAAGTTTCATTTCCCATCGCGAGCTGACCACTAATATCGCTGAAGATTGGCTTTCAGGTCTGCATGTTGGCAGTTATGGGTTAGGATGAAGATGCCCGTGGCCCTCTCGTTTTTTCGTTTTTGTTTTCTTCTGAATACGTCCAGTGGGGCCTGCTCCACTACTCATCAAATGCACAAAAGACATAGCATATGGCGGTGAATGGTTCCATGTTTTAGCAGAAGATTCATTCTACTAATATTATATACATTTGGTGAGTGGTGGAGGGAGGCCCTGAGAATCACGTGGAGACATGAACAGGGTCTAGCTGAATTGGTGACCCATAACTTCCGAGCTACACCCCTGAACTCGAATCCACAGCATATATTGGTGGTCTGCCCCCATCTCTTCCACACATGACGAGGCCATCCTTTTCATTGAAGCAGTGGCCCTCAATGGCTCCACATGTAATGTAGGAGCCATTCGAGGTACCTGCAGGGGCCTTCGAATTGACGTGAAGGGGACCCTT